GACGGGGGTGAAGAGCTACCAAGATCTCAGCTCTAGCTAAGTAGCTACTGGTAGTTGATGGTGCTAGGAGAGGCAGTCACTTTTCTTTTGGGGTGTGACCACTGCTAGGCTGTCTATGCCCCAGTGGATTCACATATAGGCAGCATTAACTGGACTCCGTAGATTGAAAACATAAATTATTTTTAAAGGAGTACATGAAGTTAGGAGGGAGATGTGGGAGATGTGTTGTCGGGATGTCCTAGAGGGAGTTGAAGGGGGTGGATATGATCAAGATACATTGTATATATGTATGAAATTTTCAAGGAATAAAAAAATATTATTTTAGGGGCTGGAGAGACGGCTCAGAGGTTACGAGCACTGACTGCTCTTGCAGAGGACCCTGGTTCGATTCCCAGCACCCACATGGTGGCTCTGAACTGTCCTTAACTCCAGTTCCAGGGGATTCCGACACCCTCTTCTGACCTCTGCGGCACTGCAGGGCACAGATGCACTTACACACATGTAAGAAATATCAATTCTCAAAAGCTGTCCTCCAACCTCCATGTGTACACTGTGGCATATGTACATATGTTCAAATGTGTGTGCACATACATACACAAAATAAGTAAATGTATTTTTTAAACATTTTATTATTTTCATTTTATGTATATGCATGTATTGCCTGCATGTAGGTAAGTGCACCCGTGTTGTGCAATGCCTGTGGAGGACAGAAGAGGCTGTTGGATCCCCTGGAACTGGAGTTACAGACAGTTGTTAGCTGCAATGAGGGTGCTGAGATTCAAACCCGGGTCTTCCGCAAGAACAGCCAGTATTCTTAACTGCTGAGCCATCTCTCCAGCCCTATTATTATTTTTTTAATATATTTTATTTATTATTTTTATTTTATGTGTATGAGTGTGTTGCCTGCATGCATGTGAGTGCACCCATGTCATGCAATGCTGTGGAGGTCAAGGGCATCGGGTTCCCCTGGAACTGGAGTTAAGGACAGTTCGAAGCCGCCATGTGGGTGCTGGGAATCAAACCCAGGTCCTCTGCAAGAGCAGTCGGTGCTCTTACTCACTGAGCCATCTCTCCAGCCCCAAAAAATTTTTATTATTTTTTATTTTATGTGTATGAGTATTTTGCCTGCATGTGTGTAAGTGCACCTGTGTCATGCAATGCTGCAGAGGTCAGACGAGGGCATCAGATTCCCCTGGAACTGGAGTTAAGGACGGTTCTTAGCCCCCATGTGGGTGCTGGGACTTGAACCTGGGTCCTCTGTAAGAGCAGTCAGTGCTCTTAACTGCTAAGCCATCTCTCCAGCTCCAAAAAAAAATTCTTTTAAACCCTCTCAATATTACATGAGAATAGCTCTCTCTCCTTAAGCAAGACAACCTGGTCAGGACAGCACAAGCTTAGCTTCAGTAGCGAGAAAAGCAAAGGACTCTCCACTGCCAGTGAGCACCACCTGCTTAATATCAATCTGGATAACCATCTTCAAAAGAAGCCCAAACTTCAGTCCTTTACAAAGTCTTCTGATTTGTAAATGTTCAAAAATGTTTTAAATGCTATGTAAACTAAACCATTCTTAAACCAGAAGCAGCCAGTTGCCAGGCTGCTGTGTGGTAACTTTCAGGACTCTGTGGTTCCTGCTAGTCCCACAGTAGGAAATGACAATCTGAGAGTACCAAGCACTTGAGAAAGAAGGTACTCAGAGGACAAAGCCCAAGTCAAAACTTCACCTACAGACCTCTGCCCAGGACTCTCATCTGCCTCCCTCCTCCTGACAGAGCTATCCCAGCAACCAACCTAACAATGCTGCAAGGGTCTCTCATTTTGCAGGCTAGAATTTCTCTACCATGAACTACTGTTTCTATAGGACTGCATGATTCCAATTTCAAGCAATAATTCTCAAAATGGACTTTGCAGCCAAAGCTGGACATTGAACTTTACATGCTGTCAGTCACATTTTCAGTGTCTCTGTCATAAATGCTAATATTCCACAAGCCATCCATTTTCAAAACTTCCTTGGTTTCAAACTCACCAAGTTTCAAAACTTCTATCCTTCTCACCTATTTCTTTCTCTGCACCCTCACATTTCATGAGTCAGTGATTCTACTGATTCTTCTGAGAATATGAACCTATCAACACACACCCTCTTCTTCCCACCCCGTGCTTTCAGGCAGCCTCTGAACTGGGCTGCCCACTTTGGTGATTCCTACAATGTCTCACCCACATTATCTGCACTAAGCCTGAAGAAAAATTTCCATGATCAAATCTTTGAACCACTGTGCTGAGGACTCTCAGGAGCCTCTTCCTAGCTCTAAAACTTGAGTATTATCTGGTTCCAAATAAAATTTGACCTGAGAAAACAGACTTACTACTAACATGTTAAACACTAATATTAAACATACAGTTTCTCAAATATAAAGATAAAACAAGACAATTTTTATCAATTTCAACATGAAGACTATTTTGTGTTAAAACTTTTAAATAAGATATTTTCATTTTGACTATTAGTAATATTATGCAGAGACTGCAATTCTTTGTTATAATTTTCATAAGAAAATATTTGTAAAATATGTTGTGAAAGTTGTGTTTTGTGTATAAAACTTCACAATAGATTAGATGAATGTTCGAGGAGATTCTCATGCCCTAATTTTAGCTGACAATGTAAGCTCTTATAAAATTTTTTTCTTGTTTTATTTTTTTTTAGATAGGGTATCCCTGTAGCCACAGCTGGCCTTGAACTTGCTGTCTCACACTATGTAGACTAGCCTGGCTTCGATATCACAGAGAATCCCTCTGCCTTTGCAGGGATTAAAGGCATGTGCAACCATACCCAGCTCTTATAAGATTTTTGATTATTAACTTTTTTCCAGTAAAAATATGAAATGAAACCAATTCCTTCAAAATGAAACTAAGATTAATCATATTTTTTAACTGGGTTATTTCCTCATAAGATAAATGCAGCACTTTTAAAGACTTTTTAAGACTTAAAAAAAATTTTTTTTAATTTATGTAGGGGTCTGTGTGTGTGTGTGTGTGTATGTGTGTGTGTGTGTGTGTGTGTGTGTGTGTTTATGTGTGTGTGTGTGGTGTCTGTGCGCGGGCCCGTGTAGAGTACAGA